CAGGAGGCTGGAGCAGGAGCTGGGGAGGGGGAGGCCCCGCGCGGGGTGGGGGTGGGGGTGGGGCGCGACCAGAGGAGAGCCGCGCCTGCCTGAAGGCGTGCCAGCTTCGTGTCCTGCGACAGCGGAACGGAGGAGGTGACTCTGGGTTGTGACTCCTCCCCCCGCTCCCCCGACTGGACCCTCAGGGTACCCCTCCTGCTCTTACACAGCCCGCAAGGGCCGCCCTCTTTGTATTTAATCGCGATAGCCGACGTGTAGCTCGTACCTCATCTGGGTCTCGCTCTAGCTCTGCCCCCTCATCTCATTTACTACTCAGAAAGACTCCTTTCTTGCCCCGTTTGACAGATAAAGAAACTGAGCTCCAAGAAGTGAAGCGACTTGACCCAGCCCTGCAGCGAGGGCAGAGGCGGGATTTTGGCCACCAAGCAGATCTCCCTGCTCTTCAGCCCAGCCCCTGGGAAAGGCCTCAGCTTTATCTCCCAGGCGCAGCCCGCACTGACCCCAAAAGGAAATGTGTGGCGAGCCCCGCGTGAAGCCCTGGCCTCGCCCCTGTCTTGAGCAGGGCAGCTCGCCTGCCTCTCCCTCCACTCCTCCCGGCCCGCTGTCCCTTTGAGTCAGAGGAGCTGACCCGGGATTAAGACGCTGGGCAGGGCCGCTGTCCACCCCCTTCGCTATTTCCCACGTCCCTCACCCGCTGTGGCCCCCTCCGAGCCTTTGCTGGTGCGGCCCCTTCCCCTGGGAGAGCTGCCCTACTCCCAGGCTCCCAGGCACTGTGAGGTGCCCCCTCGGTCTGGGTAGGTGGTTGTAGAGTGAGTCAGGAGCGCCCTGCCTTGCAGGGTCAGGGGCGGCGGGGTCAGGAGGTGGTGGAAGCATTTTGTAGGACTGGAGGGGTTCTTTGGGTGTCCTCACTGGGGTGGGAAGTCCACACCCGGAGCTGTCCGTCTGCTGTCCCAGCAGCTGGGGCTCACATAGTCTATGTCTCATTAGTTTGGAGTCCGTGAGTGGGAAGACCCCAGATTCTGCCTGACTGTGGACAAGTATCTTCTCCATCCAGCTCCTAGCTAATCCATCTGCCAAATGGGGCTGGTAAAATGGAAGGGGGCACCGTGCTCAAAAGGCAGGGTGCCCTGGGTGGGCTCCTGGGGAGTCAAGTTGCCAGGCCACTCCCAGCCTGAGGGACTGACAGGGCATCCCTGCCACCTCAAGTTCCATCTGAGCCTGGGGGCTAGGAGGACCAGAACTTCTGCGGGGGCGGGAGGCAGTGCTTTGTAGGGTCTCCCTTGACCTGAAATAACTGACCTTGGCCTGACCTCATTGCTAACCCCTCCCCCGGGCTCAGGGTAGCCCCTTAGCTGACCCTTAACTGCCTTCCTTGCCCCCAAGTTTTAAGTCCCAGGCTTAACTATTCATCTGACCAGCCCCCCATTCCTCTGGTGTCCCCTTCCTGCTCCGTGAGATCTAAGAGCTCCCCACAAGGTTGCACGTCTGTGCTTTTCCACACACGGACACCCCCCTCCGCCTTGGCATGCTCATCATCCCCACCACCATTATTCCGCTTTCGAAATCTGTCCAGTAGTTACCTTCTCTGGCCCTTGCCTCACTCCTTCCAGGTGTGCCAGACACCCGCATGGTCGTTCCCCATCCCACTACATAGGGACTTGTTATTTACTTGGCTGTCAACCCCACCCCCACCCCGCCCCCGCTCAGCACTGTGAACTCCTTGAGAGCAGACATCTCTAATTCAGAACTTTGCCTCCCTCTCACCTCTCGCAGAGGGCTGGCGCCCATTTACTACCTAGTGAATCGACCAGAGAGGTTGCAGGGAGCACAGCTGGCGGCGCCTCTAGGAAGCTGGAGCAGGGGCTGGGAGATGCCTTTTTCCACTACCTGGCCCCCATCCACCCCCTCCCTCATCTTGCAGGGGCCCCATCTTCTCCAGGGCCAAGCCTGAGGAAAGAGATTGGGTGGCTTTCTTGCCCGGGTAACCTCTACCACCGTTGCACTGGCTAAGCCAGACCCGTCCCATTCCGTCCCTCCGTGAGGGCCCCACTGGCTCTGTTGCCCTTTTAAGAAAGAGGAAATTCTTCTCATAAACAAGCGCCCCAACCTGAGCGCGGAGCTTGCCCCGCCGGATCCCCGTTAAATCGGGGATACTTCCAGGAACAGCGCCCTCTCCAGAATCAACCTAGGGAAAAAGCCCAGTGACCACTCCTCATCGCCACTCTCTACAGTTTTGAGCCTGGGGTCCGAAGGGCTGGAAGAGGCTGGAGGAGGGACTTGGGGGAGCCTAGAAACAGCCCAGGGAGCGTCTGTAAAGTGCAGCCCCTGCACCGGGCGAAGGGTTGTCGGGCCGCTCCCGGCGACAGAGGGGGTTCCCCGCCCACACAGCTTCCCCCGCCCCCACCTCCTTGTCTAGGCGGACTCCGAGGCTCCCCGGCGCTAGGTCAGAGTGCCCGCCTCCTCCTCTTTGAAAGGGTGAGGCTGAGGCGGTGAGTGCAGACGCTCGGGACCATCCCTGCCCCTAGGGGGAGCTTGGAGTCAGCGCCCAGGGACAGTTAACTGCGCGGCGTGGGAGTCTTGGCCGCCGGATTCCCTGGGGAGATGGCAAATGAATTGGGCCCCGGAGGCACGGACTCTTGAGTTCTTTATGACCTGGCAACTAAGGAAGGGAGAACTGCGCCTCAGTTTAACTGCCTGGAAGACGGGTTGCTGGCGAAACAAAAAGGCAGAGGCTGCCCCAGCAAGAGTAGAAGTGGTGACAGCGAGAGGAGACGTCGGAGAAGGTGGCTCTTCTTGATGGTTCGGGGATTTTGTGCTTTCCCAGTTTCTATTCCCCTGCTCTTTTGGAGAAGCAGACTAACATCGATTTAGCATTCATCAGACTCTATTTTAAGTGTCGGTTTGGTGCCTATGTCCTGCCCTCAACTAGGTCACCCTGTCAAGTCACTCCTATAGGAGCTCAATATATGCTTTTAGAATGATTTTTTTTTGTTTTAATTTCTCAGTGCCAGGCACTGTGTTAAAGTGCTTTGCATCCACTGCAATGTTGGTGTGTTTACAGATAAGGGCACTGAGACCTGGAAGTTAATCACTTGTCCAAGCTAGGACACAACAGCTCCCTCTGGAACTCAGGTTGGCCTGCCTCTGAAACTCCCACCCCATCTGTCCACCTTCACGTCCAGCAGGCCAGTCTGCCGCTCTCATTCCATCCTGCGGCCAGTCCCTGGGTGGGAGTTCATCCAGAGGGCTCTCCCTTCTGCTCCTCCTCAGGAAGCCCATACAAGAAGTGTTGGTGGGAGCTGTGGGCCAGCAGGGTGGCTCCATGGGTAATAAAACAGGTCCAGACCTGGGAGAGAGGCAATCATGAATGGGGAGAGAACATGACCTATGGGGAAGCCCCAGTCCATCCCCCCTCCCTCCATCTGTTGCCTCAGCCATCTCCAAGGCACCCGCCAACCCTATGGTACCAGATAGGTGGTGAGACCCAGGTAGGCCACAGCCAGCAGGGCTACAAGACTGAAGTAGGCGGGGTGCGGGAGGCTGGGCAGGTAGCTGATCACAAAGTAGAGGTTGGTGGCGCAGATCAGTGCCATGATGGAGGAAGTGATGACCTTGCTTAGCCTGGGGGACAGGAGGGAAACAGGACTGGCTGCATCTTCTCCTTCTCTCCAGTGCCCACAGCCAGCCCGGAGCAAGGGCGGGAAGAGTGGAGGAATCCACAAAGCCAGTTTCTCTGGGCTGTGGGACCTGGAGCAGACCCCTGCCCACTCCTGCCTCCTGGTCCCTCCAGGCTCCACCCTGATGGGATTTGGCAAGAGCAGAGTCTGTAGTAAGGGTGAGGAGCTCAGGCTTTAGAAACAGCCCCTGCCCCGGATTCCAGTCCTGGCTCCCCCACTTGCTAGCTGTGTGACCTTGGACAAGTTTCTTAACCTCTCTCAGCTTATCTGGATAATGGAGATAATGATGATAATTCCTACCTCTGGGTGGCTGTGAGCATCTAATGCGGTAATGCAAGTCCAGTGCCTGGGATGGGAAGTACTCACCAGCCATTGGCAAACTCCTGCATGAGGGCAGGCATGCTGGTGAACGTGAGGATGGGCAGCACAGCAAAAGGAAGCTGGGGGGAAGCAAGAGGATGGGGCTGAGGGACCCTACCCTCAGACTACGGGGAGGAGGGGACGGGGCTCCCATCATCCTCTGCCTGGCTGTGTGCCCTTGGGCAATTCTCCTAACCACTCTGAGCCTCAGCTTCTCCACTCTGTGCCTTCCAAGCTTGTGGTGCTCCAAAGCAGGAGGAAGTGTTTGGGAGCTGTGACCCCAGGCTGCCTGAGATTGAATCCCAGAGCTGCCATTGGTCATTTAACTATATGCATCAGTTTTCCAATCTGCAAAATGGGCATAACAGTGGTTCCTAACCCTTATTTGCAAGGTGTGTTCAGATTGTGCG